TATATATATATATATATATATATATATATATGTGTGTGTGTGTGTGTGTGTGTGTGTATTCGCGTGTCAAATCGGTAGACAAATCGGTTTTCTTTGTAGATTGATATATCTATGTTGGACGAAACTTTATGCGCTACCTCGGCATTCCTGCTGGCAATAACAGCTTTCGAATTGTCGCTTGACTGCATACTTGCATCTAATCCCAACAGGAATCAAATATGGCGTCAATCTTTGATGGCATCAAACAAAAAAAAAACACTCGCAATGTAAGTAACTAATTGAAAGAATGATAAAACCGTCGTTTATAGCGTAATAATTATTATTAATAATGAAAGAACGTATATATCAGCATATTACAATTATTGCATTTAAAGAATGCAATTTGTGACATGTGTGTGATCTTAAACTTGTACAACTGTGATTATTAAAATATAGATTTAGTTGCAAATGCCTCTTTATTAACACGAGAATCATCTATTTCAGATGGGAAGAAGGACTGATGTCTTTTATAAAAGAAATTATAATAAAATTGGTCCTAGAATCAGACAAGGTCGAACCAAGAGTTGTATATAAGAAATATCGGAGTAGCAAACGTTGTAAAGTCTCTGATTTCCTTCTCAGTAGTGTAAAGAAAGCCACAGAGGGATAAGCATGACATCAAGTTATGTAACTTCTTGTTAGTCTTTATCCGTTTTAATACTTGGCGGTGCACTTGTAATGTATAGGTCATAATTCGTGCAAGTTATATTTACATTTTTATATTTTAACGCTAATGTTTTTATCTCTAAGAGATTTTTTCAACTAAAACATATTATAATGTACACATGTGTTTGAAAAAATACTTAAATATACTTTTATTATTGCAATCATAAAGAAACGAAAGTATTCCATTCTTTTTTACGTTCAACTTTATATTTTTCGGCATTGAAAGATTGGCGATGAGCGTTGAAGCGTATCATATTTATTACGACAATGTTATACTTATTAACATAAGCGCGGTTATTGACGATGACAGTGATTTATTTATGGTACGTCTTTTTATCAAACAATATATTCAGGTCACTGATATATATATACAATTTAATATCAATTACTTTTTATTAACAAAAACAGCATTATCACATATTGTACGATATACGTCAAACATATTGATACCCGACTACTTTGTTAAGAGAATATGAAGAAAGTGGCAAGTGATACTTGGCTTGCCGTTGCCTTTCGAAAGGAGACAAGTGTGTGAAAATTTTTCGGTTCTGTCGAGAATCGAATCTGAAGATCTTCGATATGATAGATCAGTGCGCTGTCTCTATCATATCACGCTCGCTCTCAATATTTAATACGTGTCATAATGTATAGTAGGGCGATTCGTACAAATTATAATTATATCCGTATTTTTCAACTTTAATAAAAGTAAACAAGTTTACAAAAAGTTTACAAGTTTACAACTTTAATAAAAGTAAACAAGTTTTATTTCTAAAAGATTTTTATCGAGATGTATATTAAAATATACCTGTGTGCTCGAAAAGAATATATATTTTTATTGTCGCAAGCTTAGAGAAACGAGTATTCCATTCTTTTACATTCGTCGGCATTGAGTAATGATTGGCATTGGGCGTTGAAGCGTATAATCTCTATTACGGCAATATTATATTTGCCAGTGTACAAATGTAAGCGTAGTTATCGAAGATGACAACGATTTATCCATGCAATGTTTTTTTACGATATACATAGATCACTGATGTACATACACACAATTTAATATCGATTACTTCTTAGCAACTAAAGCAGCAGTATCACATGTAACACGATGTACATCAAAGATAATCAAGTGGTACTAAATGCACGACTCAAGCTTTAGTGATTGCTGATGATTGATCCGCCCAAGCTTCCCATTTGTCCTGAAGAAACATTGTGTTGTCGATGGACACCAGCTCTTTAACGTCATCCTAAAAACAATGCGATACCGTATTTAATAGAGACTGATCACTTCTGTATATTAATACATATCCATAAAAGAATGTATCTATTCGTTTCCTTTCATATTTTTCGTCTGGAAATTTATTAGGAGCTATCGACTATTCTGACCGATAGAAAATGAACCTTTTACCTTGAACAACACGTTGCGCTTTTCGTCCCAGGCGCCAAACAGACGTAGAAGATCCGGATGCTTGGAGTATAGAGTGCTGGCGGCTAAAATACCGTGTTTCAGTTCTTCCAGAGCGTTTGGATTTTTCCCGGCCGAACTGACGATCACTCTCGGCGGCTCCAATCCCAAGTTACAACGTTCCCATTCATTGATGGGCGCTTGGCCACCCTCGGGGCAAAGCAGCACGTAATCTTCGCGTTTGCCAGCACCGTATGTCTCGTTATCTATAATAATAATAACGTTCATAAAGTGAGAAAAGCGTGATCGCGCATTTAACGTGCTTCAATTAAAAAAATATTTCTTACAAAGCTGCTGCAAAGCCGTTAAAGGCAGGAACGCGACGTCTCCCTTCCCGTCCTTTAGACACCTTGAAGGAAACAAACAGATTAAACTCTCGTTAACTTCAAAACCGTTCTATTTACATCTATTCATGTAAGTGTAGTATTGTATGCGAACAAAGAGACAATTTATAAAGAAATCGCGGAATATTACCTGAGCGCTCCTAATCCGCCATTGTAATATTCGACGTCCGTTGGCCTGCACTTTGTGGCATCTCTTACTTTATCGTCATCGGACTTGATATTGCCGACGCATAGTTCACAGGACTTGGAATCGTGGGGTGCACCAGGCGCACAAGATGCAGAGAAGAAGATGCTGTCCATCTCGTCCAGTGCACTGATAAGACCTTTCTGCTTAAGAATGCGAGCCGGTGCGGTGGAACCGGCGAAGTCACCCACGTATCCGCTGCGGCAGGACTTTTTGTCTCTGAGATCGCCTGTGTGAACATCGTCGGTGACGACATGTGTCGCGAAATTGTATATAGACTATCTTGGTAAGCGCAGATTTACACACCTAATCCATTTATGGACGATCCGCTCTTGAGGACAGCGACTGCCGGTCGCTCGCCGAGTTTGGTCGATCCCTCTCCGTAAGTTTCAATGACGATCGGTTTCGCGTTGCATTCTTTTATCGCGAGATTTACCGATTCGCCATCGATCACTGTTATATCCGCTCCATTATCCCTGACGGCCTTCAAACAAGCATCCTGGTCCTTCTCCAGTATACAGTCGAATCTAGGCCTGGCGTCTCTGTGATATTTAACATTGCCTATTATTGTCGAGTAAACTTCTGTCAAGACAAGATATAGTTGATTCGTGTTGATTTTCCAGAATGAATTCTCATGATATGATATAGTTATATAGTATTGTTATTATATTAATTATGTGATTACCTGGAAAACGCGGCTCTAGCGAGATTACGACATTTGTCCAGCGCGTTCGCATCCCAGACGCACCAGCGAGCATCTCTCTCAGGTGCTCCAGAATTCCTCTCGATTACGTCCATGTATTTTGCGCTCTTCAGATGCTCTTCCGGGGACACTGGCGGCGCCGCGACAGCCAAGGTCTTCTCGTCGAGCAACATGAGATCCTTCCACCAATCCGCTTTCTCATTCCCACCAAGCTGGCCTAGTTGTGTTAATTCCTGAAACGTAGCGGAATTCAATAAAGTTTAAAGTGCGACGTCAGAATAGAGTTTATAAAAGTCTTAAATTCGGCACTTTAAACAGGTGCAGACGCGGCTAGTCGTAGCATGAATCCCAACATGTCTGCAGCTGCTGGCGCTTACAACTCGTGTCTCAAGAATGCAATTTTAGAAAATAATTCTGTTATACTAGTTTGAATGTGGATATTTAATATTCACTCATAATCAGATGTATGGGATTAGCTTTGAGAATTTATCTCAACTCCTCAAATGAGTGAAGATGCACTTCGAAAAAAATATATTCTTTGCTTCTGGTTTCTTCGTAATGTATTTAAGGCTTCTCGAAATCAATGTTTCTTTCAGACCTTTCTGTGTAGATAAATTCTCGTACCTTTTGAATAGCTTCCACGTTGTTGGCATCATCCCCGTTAGTCATGTATCCTTGCCACGGGCGTGCGGCCCACGTGCACGGCTTCGTGTTGACATCGATGGGCACTTTGCTGCCGTCAGGACACAAGTATCGGAAATCAGCCGGATTTTCAGAGGTCGGCATCGCCGGTGAGACTCCAACGGGCAAACCAAAGAAGCGCTTCACGTAGATAACTTTCGTCCAGGCGACGTCGCCGCCGTTGTGAGCCACACAACGTAATGCGCCTTCATATCCGGAGTATATGTCAGGATAATCACACACGTCTGGTTTCTCGCAAAGAGCGCACATGTTGCTATACGTTTCCTCTGTAAAACGAAAAGTATCGTTGAATATTTTTTGAAGCAAAGAAAAAGAAATACTTCACGATTGAAGAAAACATCGCAATTCCGAATTTCTCGAGCTGACGCGTAAAAGTTTTGAGCGACAAGATTTATGTAACGTAATTTCATTCCCGACAACGAAGTACACGTTGTTTTGTAAATGTACGTCAGAATATACAAGAGAACTGGAGAAGAATGAAGTATCGTCGCGCAATATCACAAGCATAAAGTGATTTCTCTCGCTTCATCATCTAATTTCATTTCTTAATGTAACGCGTTCGTTCGCATTGTTTGTTTATGGCTATCACTTGAGCTTTCTTCCATTTACCATGGCTGTGGTATAGCCGCGTATATATATATATATATATATATATATATATATATATATATATATATATATATATATA